TAGCAATACGGTTTGGGCACTGCTGGAAGAGTGGAACTTAATTTCCAAAACTGCGGTTTACAAAGTTATTACCAGCATAAAATACATTCTGATATGTTGTAAAGATTATGTTAATTTTCCTAACAGTTAAATTTTGAGTTAAAAGTTCCTTTCCTGTCTTCCTGAATTTCAACTTACAACTTCCGGCCAGAACGTATTTTTAGAATCGCGTTTGAATGCAAATTGAGGAGAAGTATTTAAACGCGAAGTTCTACTGTCTCCGTTAGAGAGAACCAGTGATTCTGGCTAACATGCATCCGTCCTTTTAGGCTACTGTCTCTTAAGCTATTATTAAGCTCCGTCGTACTTTAGGCTATTGATAGCTTCTCCGTTATTCAGCTTTAAGGGGCCAACTCGGTTAGAAGCTTGATAACTTCGGCTATATCTCTTTAGTTAAGATTAGTTAAATTTTAGTTCTTAGTTTCCTAAGTTCAAGCCCGAGTGGCGGCTTTATTGTAAAACTCCAAGACGGAGTTCTGTTAAACCATATTGGAATAATAAAGGGTCTTTAACCCTTTTCAAGTGTTAATTACTGTCTCACGAACTCAAGCGATTAGTCTCTTAGCAGTTCTTAAATTCTTCCCATTCAGCTGTAACTTAAAAGTACACAACACGGAATCTTACAACGTGTGTACAATTTAGGGAGGATCGAATTCAATATAATATTCATAATTCTTAATTTTATTGAGTTATTTCTTTTTTCTGAATCCTCCTTGTAAAATATAATTACTATTTTTATTGTTTTATGAATCATTTTTATATCATATGCAGTGCTTTAAATTTTTGACCTTTGTATTTATGTGTGATGATATTATGTACCGTTCCATGTATTTCATGTACATAAAGATAGTTTTGGTCATGAATGTAGATTGAGTCTCTGTTGCGGTCTACCGTGCCTAGTAGGAAGGAAATTGTTCTACTAGCTTGTCCTGAGGGACATGATTTGAGGTAAATTTGAGATTTTAAAGAGACTCAAAGTTTTGGCCTAGTGAATCTGACTGTTAAACTTAGGAAGAACTGAGTTTGATGCTCATTTATGGCCATTTGCTGTTGTAAAACAGGAATGACCTATGGACACTAAGACAGCACTCTCGGGCCTCTGAAATTTCTGGCGTTCCAAAGTTTGTAAATGTAAATGAAGGAAATAGAAGAAGTATGAATATAGCAAGCAGTAAGATTTTATAAGACCAAGCAATAGAATGAATTCAAAAATAACATTATTATCGAAGATATTATTTATATTATATTTAATTTATTTTATGAATATTTTTTTCAAATATTTAAGTTCAGGTTTTATGTAGAGTAGAGTCCCGCAAACTTGACATAATGTGGACTGAGAGACTGTCGGTTTTCCGAAAAGTGGAGTTTTACAGAATAATGGGTGGGTTTTACAGAACTCTGAATATTTAACTGTAAATTACCCTAGACATTTTTAGCACAGTACTGGACACAGAAAAGTACAGCATACAATTAAATTAATGTTGGTTTTTTGTGCAAAGTTCTAGCAGAATAGGAGTCATAAAAAGAACAAATACCTTAGGATAATTGAGTAAAAAAACTTGCATACAAAAATGAAGAAAAATTATTAGTAGTTCTTGATAGAACAATACCGTGTGCTGATAGATTGTCCTTCACATTCATTCGGTCGTCGTGCAGCTTCATCCTGTAGGCGAGGGAGAAACAAAATACCCATACAGATGCATTTTTGTCCCCCGTGTAATGGAGTATTCCTTCAGCGGCCTCCACTCCTTCACTATGGATCATCATTTTAGCTTTTCTGTTGTCTTCAGTCTCTTGGTTTTTCTGATTCATCTTCATCTTTATCCCCCACTGTCTTTCACCAGTGCATCTATTTCTGCATGTCCTGAAATCTCACAGTTTTCATCTTGTTCTATCCATTCTTCAGCATCAAACATCAGTAACTTCTTCACAGCCTGAAACTATCTTAAGTAAGTCAACTATTTCACAATTTTCTGTCACTTCTTTGCTTTTGTGAAATTCGTTTCCTGAATAGTCCAGCAACTTTCGCCAATCGTTTACTCCCCACAATCGTTTAATTGCTTGATGCCGTACAGCCTTTTCCATCTGTGGAACCAGCTATCACTAAAAGTAAATCCAGGTTCTCCTTTTTGAATTTCATCATAAAATTTCAGGGCTTTCTCTTGTAAAATTGGTTTTAAAACGGGAAAGCCCCTCATCACTTTTTCGTATTCACCACCTTTCATACTTTTTTTCTCTTTCAACTATCCTTACGTGTTCTTTTCCAACACCAGGACTCAATTTCGGACCTCTTCTTTTTACACTCTATCAAAGTAGTATGTCCAACACCTGCATCCGTGAAAATTTTTCTTTCACTTTTCTCTTTGTTTAGTCTTTTTAAAGTACCTAGTTTCATTCGGCAAGGACTGCAAGTTTGAGTCTGGCCTTGCCATGGGCCTTGAGCACCATACCACAACAACAACAACATATTGGCATTCCCTGTTCCGCGAACCATGAACCATTTGCCACACTATAGGTCCCCCCCCCCTCTCCATAGAACCAGGCGCGGAGGTTCAACCTCCGCTCTGGCCCCTCAGAGAGGGAGACGCACCGCCTAGGTAGTCACCCGGCACGGCACTGGTCGTTATTTGCTACCTACCAGTCGTTCACCTGGAATGGAACCCAGGTTGGAACTACCAGTGTTCAGCAATTTTACCGTTCGACCGCTGGTGAGCCCATTTAGACATATTATCTGATTAATATAAGCCTGTAAATATATTGTAATGCACAATTTTAATTAACAGATTTATAACTTGTTTTTACGTTTTATTGCCAGGGCTTACTTAAAGTATTATCCAATATTAACCTACTCCGCTATTTGGGATTCTATTGTAGTTACACTATAATTTTAAAAATGCTTTCTTAATTAATAAAATAAATAAACTAGTTTAAATAAATGAAAGCATTCGTAAGGGATGTCTCTCTGGAAAAGGCTTTCTTATTTCTTTCCTTTTTTCTAATAATGCATTTGAGATAAACGAAGTTCTGATCCGGAGTATTCATAATCAGAAATAGACTGATCATCTGAAAAGTTAGAAACGTTATCCTAAGATCCCCATCCAACAGAAAAGTTTCCTTATTTTCAGAAATGCTTTCTTGACATGACGTTATATAGCTCTTTCAAATCGATGTATTAAATTTCAAATGGTATGGGATTCGCTTTAGCTAATACTTAAGAGTGCATTCGCAGACATATGGCTTTCATTCAACATTTGATTAATTTTCCAATAACAGTCCAAACCAGAGAGCAAAGTGAACATTTCAAACGAAAGAATGTTTTCATCAGCAGTGGTTTAGCTCGTCCTGCGTATGTGATAGCTGATAGCTGTCTGCAGTTATAAATTTTAATCACTTTATATTTAGTTTTTCAACAGCAGTTTGCTCTAATTTATTTCATATGGTGAAGCTAGAAAGAACTTAAGTCTTAGAAATGTGGTATCAACAGAAGTAATGAAACAAAACTCTACAGACGAATTGAAAATTGAAACGGTAGTAGAATTTTCAAGATTGTGTGTTAATTACATGTTGCATATGTTTTAAGAATAATTACACCGTTTTGAAAATATCAGAATCTATCGTTCGTAAAATATGTATTAAATAAATAGCTTGTTATAAATTTGTCTACATAATCTGACAATGATTTTTCAACGTATTTGTTTCAAGGATTTTTTATGATTGTTTCACTCGTTTCAACACAAAACTTCCATATAGTTTGCCTTTCTAAAACCACTTCTCTAGCTCTCTTTTTCCCCCCTTGTGTGTATTTTGGGATTGATGGGGTTTCGTGAGTTTTACAAACAGAGACATTAGTAAAAAATAAGGTAAAATTAATAACTTTCTTAAGCATTTCCAAGTCTCTAGTGAGTTGAATAAAAGCTGTTTTAAGTGTATGCAATCGACATGACATTCTAATTCATACATTTTACTACTCGCTTCAGTTTCGAAGGAAAAATTAGGCAGGCAATTATTAGCAGTAAAGATGTATCAGTAAAATTTCTCAAGTTGAAAATCCGAATTTCTATCGAAAAAATAAAAAGTTTTATTTTTATTTATTTATTTATTTATTTTAAATGTGGCAGCTGCAACAAATTAGTAGCCAATCGCGTAAAAGTTTGTTGGTAAATTTGTTTTAGTTCTTTCTCGGCTTTTTAAAATAGAATACGGCAAATCATACGAGGACTATTTACTTAGGAGATCAAATGCCGTCGTGGAGAATTTTCTTAAGAACTGGCTAGTTCGTAAAAACGTCAAAATTAAAATTAAATTACTTTTTGTACTTTATTTATTAATCGCTTTTCAAACGATTTTTAGTGGTTGATACATTTCTGCTAAAATTTCTTTGCGGAACATAATACTGCTTGGCGAATGCGTCCCACCTCAACCTTTCTTTCCGATGCTTTCAGGTTACTTTAGCCTTGCATGTAGCTAAATTTCCATAACATCCGGAGTAAATGGTGTGAATGAGAAAAATTAGATGCGACAACAACGATTAGTTTAAAGGGATCAAAATAATAAAAACATGAACACTAAATTTTTTTATATTGATGACTTGTAATAGGTCAAAATTATAATTACAAGAATAATTCGTAATAGGATGTGAAATATTTTTGACGGTTTTGAAACTCATTCAGCGGCAGATCTATTTTTAATAGCAAAATATAGAATTTTAATTAATTAATTAATTTAATTTTAATTATTTCTTGAATAAGCGTTTCCAACTGAGATGCCTTCAGAAATGCTAGCTACAAAAGTAATTTCGGTTATTCCTATGGTGATTTTATGTTTACAACACACTCGATTTATTACTTTGAAATAGGTTTTGAAAAACAGACATATTTTTATTGATTTAAATGCGAAAAAAACTGATAAATAGACATAACCATCGAGTTACAGCAGCTAAAAATATGGTAAATTTTGCATACCTGTAGAGAATTCAAATATGAAGAATTTTATCAACAAGAGAGGGACATACTGGTAGTATCTGATACCTCGAAGATTTCAGCTAAATGTTTGTACTTTTCCTATAGTTACAAATCGTTTTCTAGTTACAAAGCTGTTGTTGAGTTGTTGATGATAAAAAGCTGAAACGGAAGTTTCTTATCACATCCTACACAGCGTAAACGGAAAGTCTAAACTAATTGCTGATTAACACAAATGAAAGTAGAAGGGTAGAAAAGGGGAATCCTAAGTAATTAGTAGTTCTCAGGAAACGCTTTCATATTGTTTGAAAGACTCGTTAATGATTTCGATGATCTCATTTGAAGATTAACGTTTACTTGATGTACTAGTTTCTTTTTCAATCCAAAGCGTTGTTCCGGAAGGAGAACAAAGTATTTCTCCCTCACCCTAGATTTAAAGTTTTAATTTGAAAGGCAAGGTGAATGGCGGCTCTCCTTCTACCCTCCTTAAAAAAAGAAATTTCTCGATACAAATCAGAAAATAATTAAAAATAACCTAATATAAATAAGAAAAGATTCTAAATGGAATCTTTCTTTATCAGAAGTGAAAGAGATGAACACCAAGAAGTTATAAACTTCGAAATTTTGCAATACATAGAAACCTAGTCCTCGAAAAAATACTACTTTTGAAGAAAAATTAGTTATTTGTAATTATTATCTACGATAATTTAATGTAAAATATTTTTAATAAAAGTTTCAGGTATCATACTTTCAGGTATCATAGGTATCATATAAAGTTTCAGGTATCATAGGTCAGCATACTTCACATTTGATATATAGGTAAATAACAGTATTGAAAGCAAAGTGCATGAAAATTCATTACTTTTCTAGGGAAAAAAAAAGAATGTTTGAGGATTTTCATGTTTTCATCTCTAGTGCTGCGAAAGTATGTGCACATAAAATAAGCTTTCATTTTTTTGTTTTCTCCAACGGAGTTTGGTTTTTATACATTTAATTATTTAAATTATCTGAAATTTGCATTTACATTATATTTTCATTTTTTATTCAGAAAATGAACAGGGCATACTTAGTAATATGAAATTAACTGGTGTTATTATAACACGATAGTCATGTGTACAAATATTTAATATATTATCGTGCGTACAATTTTTATTGTACTAGCGTGTGCACCATTTTTTATTATTGTAAAGAATTACTATTCACAATAACGGAATTTTACAGTTTTTATTCATGAATTATATCCGCTTGTCCTCCTCGTTCCAGAACAACTTTTTTTTTCGTAGTTAGTTTTACTGATTTTAGAATATATCGGCGGCAAGGTTACTCCTAAGATATAATAGTTATATTATAATGCCTGTAAATAAAACGTTGTGTAAAGGGGTTATAATTGATATATATATAAATATATGGGAAAGTATCTTTGTATGTTTTAATGTACAATACAGCATTTCATATACAGCTTCTATTTTCAAATATGATGTAGCATATCCGTTATTGAAGCAACTAGAAATATCTCGAGTCTAGTTATAAAAGCATCTTGCTTTTGATAGTCAGCTTGCTTTCCTTACAAGTCAGTAGCTGCATATTGACAATGCTGTGTTTTCATTCTATGATACAGAAAGTTTGACTAAATTTCAATAATCTATACGCATGCCTGTAAATGTAAATATATAAATATATATGCATGTTTCTGAAAGTAAATGGTTCATGGTAATCTCCAGAATATAAAATATGGAATAAATAAGTTATAGTTAAAATTAATTTTAATCATACATAATACTTTAACGAACAATGGGCAATCGAAACACGTAAAAACACAGTAATCATTTAAAACGTAAGTTCTCTGTTAACCGGTATGGACTCCGAAGGCTCATCCACTCTTCCAGAGAAAAGTATAACACCAGAGTTCGTGTCTTCAACGTAGAATATGAATGGATGATTAGCAATAAATTCTTTTACACCTCTGAAAGCAACGGGCATTATTTTCAATTTCGTAATTACTGATTCTTCGTTGCCTGTCTCATTCACTTCGACTATTGCTTTCTGGATTATATCACTAACGTATAAATCACTGTCATCTTGTATATTCGAAAAATTTGCTTGTAAGGGATTGAATGCATCTTGAATTCCTAAATCCATAAAAGCATCTTTGAGACTAGTCTGTGTTTCAAATCGGTATTTTGGAAAAGCAATCATGTCCAACTTCGTGTGGCTCATTTTGTTCTTGATTTCACAAAATAGTCTTGAATCCATTTGTATATTAGCCGGTTGATCATATTGAGTAGGTAATGCTAATACCATGTTCATTTTGTCATCCTGTAATTAAAAAAAAAATAATAAACTTAGACTGCTTAAAATATCTAAACTCACAAAAAAGTTCTAAAACACAACTATTAACTGCAATTTGATGATTAATAAATAATAATAATATTTGGTAACTTTTTATTTTAACTTATAAATTAACTTTCTTGAAAGGCAAAACAGTTTATTTAGAACTTATAAACTCAGAATTCTTTGATATTTGTTTTCTTAAGTACCTGCTTTCAGTTTGGTTTATATCAATAGCATAAAATAACTGCTAATAAATATTAATACAGGATCTGGTATAGAAAATTTCTCATAAATGGGTATAATAAAGAAAACAGTGGTACAAAATGAACTTTACTGCACAAAAAAAGAGGTACATGGTGTCTCATTTCTCATTCTCAATGTAATAGTATTGTCTATCACTAATACTTAAGTGTTTATGTAACAGAACAAAATTCTAACAGATGATGTGAGCCCTTTGATACTTGCTATCACATTGTATAAACTGCTGAAATATAACCCTAAAGTTCTTTTTGACACTTTTAAAAGTACTATTGCAGCATCCCCTCTTCCCTGAAATCTTTTGAGAAGAAGATTTAGGGCTGAAGCTTTAAGTCTGAAGAAGCTTTCAGGGGTTCCCAAAGAAAGAAATCATGGCCATTGAGGTCTGATGAGCATAGCCGGCCACAGGAGTCGTTCTGTGGAAAGATCTCCATCAAAACTTGCATGGATCTTTCTTCTGACTAGCGTTACCACTAGCATCTTCTAGTTAAACAATGTAATTCTAATTCCATCCTGAAGTTGAAAAATGGAGAATCATATTCTTTCTGTTCAGACAAAAAGCGTATATCTTTTTTGTCTTTAATATTTCCAAGTAAAGGAGGGTCTTTTTTTCACTGATTGACACTGTATTATCAGTCAATAAAGTACAACATTTTGCTCTTATGCAGGAAATTTGAACAGAATATATTTGACGTAGAATTCATCATAAGCAGAATGACTGTGAATTGTCGTGGAAAATATTGAAATTAAATACATAATTTCAAATTTAGATGTATGATATTTCTGTATAATTTTTAAATAATTTATAAAAATCATGGCGCAATATGGTATATTGGAATGATTCACGAAAAATAATTTAACCTTTTTATGATGATTTTCCTCAAATGATATTTACACCGTCATTTTGAAGATAGGTTATTATGCGTCAAATTTTCAGTGCATAATTCAATGATATAGCTTAACGTTTTCTTCAGTTTTTTCAGTGAAATCTAAGTAATATTCTAATCAAATAGCAAGAATGAAAAAAGGGAATTGAATTCGTCTTCATATCTGCTTTATCAATTTCGTTTTTCATGGATCTATTTTGACTAGTTTTTTAACGCTTTAAATATATCAGCTGTTTCAAAAATTATTAAGGGGGGGGAATAAATAAAAAAGCCTCTGCATTATAAGGCGTATTGAAAATTATATTTTAAAGAATAAGAAATATTTTAAGAAAGACACTCTTTATTCTTCATGATTTATTATTTAAATTAACAATTTATTTATAATTGCAGCCTATACTATAACTTCTCCTTTCCATTTCCTCACCATAATGTAAATTTAGTTTGCCAGTATTTAAGCTGAGGTTTTTGGATATCCTTCACATCCAATCCGCCCAACACGGCCCTACATTGAAACAACCAGAACCGCCCAAAAACGGCCGAGATTGTAATCTTCTTTTCTTCCCTTCCCCTAAGGTATGCAGCAGCAGGTGCACTTTCCCCAAATGCATTGTATCAGTTTACAGCAGACAGCTTGTCCTAAGAGTTTTTTTTTTTTAATCTTTTGGTTGATGGTGACATTTCGTTGTTGATTCTTTTGTGGTACAGTGTGCTTTTAAGCTTTAAACAGCAATAAAAGAGCAGTTTAAAAATTTAAGGATTATATTTATTTTTAAACAATTTATTCCTTTCTATAAAAATAACGGAAATAAACAAAATCTCAGTAGTGATCATAACAAAGACGGAAAGGCTTGTTGATCTGACCTTCAGAATAGTTTTATAAAGAACGGGGTCAAAATGGAATTTTTGTTAGAAAGTACAAAGGATGTCAATGGAAATCTTCACACATATTGTCTGCGTTAATGGACAGGAGGGGAGGAAATTGCTGTGAAACTGGAAAAGTACTTCGGGCGGTTCGGATATTTTGAAGATACTGCTTAGCGAAGGGTCTGGATTTCAAAGAGTTAATATAAAATATACATGAAACTGAGTAACAGAAGAGAGTAGTTTCTTGTTGTCCACGTGTTCTGCATGCTGCTGAGTAATATATCAAGTTCAGTTCCCCCCCCTTTTTTTTTGTCAGTTGTTTCACAAACGACTGACAAAAAAAAAAAAAAAAAAACGGAACTGAACTGATTGTATTTTCACACAACATATTGCTGTCATTTATGAAAATATTTGGGTCTGTAATTTACTTTATAGTGGTTTCTATGCATTTATCTTATCGTGTATTTATTTCTATTGATTGATTCATTTATTGCACTTTTATGTCAAGTTTATGCTTATTTATTGCACATTATTATTTTTTATAATTTTTAATTTGTGATCATCCTGGTTTTGTATATATTTAACTAGAATTTATTATATTGCAGCATTCTTAAGGATAAATAAATAGACGTAGGAATTGTGAAAATACCTCTCGGAATTATAGGCTATTGAAACTTATGGGCTATTTGCGATGTTTAGCAATTTTTCGACAACTTGATGCATTTTAGAGGGTTTTAAGAAATTAATTTTTGAGACTCAATACTACTTTTTCTTAAGGTTCCAGCAGCGTAATGACAAACTCCGGATTGAATTAGTCAACGTTAAGCGAACGTCACTTTTTGCGCATGCCCAGAAAAGAATTTGGAGCAATTACAATGTTGCCGTGATAAAGTAGATAGATACTGCATATAGGGATATAACAACATCACAATTAATGTTCTTCTACCTGAGTTTAAACAACTGCGGTTATTTTCAAGTTGGTTACTTGTTAAAACGTTTGTGATGTTGCCTGTTTCACATTCTTCACAGTAAGAAACCTTTCAAAACTGCGTGTACACACATACAGTACACAAACAGGTACAGTTTTGCTAAGATATACGTAAAATATTTTAAATATTTTTCTAAATATGTGTTTGATACAAATTTGAAACAAAAATCGAAAGATCTATTTCTTTCCTTTAGGAATTCATTTTTAATGTGCCAGATACTAGTTGAGAAACGGTTCTAATTTTTTTTTAAAGGAACATACCATTTTCAAATGGTTTCTACAGGGAAGTCTAAATATACTAAATTTTATTACAATAAAACTAATGCAACGTACATGTACGAAATTTCGCCGAGTAAATGACCATGTCATTTTTTCTCCAAATGCACAGAAAGTTTTCTTTTGGAATTATTGTGAAACAAATATCAGATTTAAGTAATTAGTAAATATGAAATATAATGGTTCAAATTTTCTTTGTTCCTTGTTATCATTAAATAAGCATTAACTCGAAGAAGATATGACAAATACAAATATCAGAAGTTCCACATTCAAAGGCAAATAATTACAGAACATTTTGGAAGTTGATAATCTCAATAAATTTTGAGTCAAAATTTCCTTAAACCTGAGTATATTTTTCAGAAACGCCTCTTATAGAAATATGACTATAGATGTTCATAAGCTTATGTTTCAGCCCAAGTATTATTTTTTAACTGAAAACGAGCAAATTTTAAAGAACGTTCTACTTGTAAAGATTCATCTAATTATAACTGCATTTTCTTTACGATCACATTTTGTATATCCATGCTGCAGATTTGCTCGACAGTTGGAATTGAATATTTTTTGGACATTTTTTCCATTAGAATCATCCCCAAGAAAACAACAGTATTATTACACGCAGCCTCAATAAAATTTCTGTTTCTGGTATTTCTTCAGCAGCAACAAAGTTTTCTATACGTAGCTTCATGAACTTTTGGATTTCGCATTTTCAGAGCTCGTAAGGAACAGAGCATTTAATTTAGTTACGAAGAATAACGAATTCTTCACCTCTACTGAAAAAGTACCAGTGTTTACTGTGAATACTAGCGAAGCGTTCTGCTATATAATTATTACATGAGTCACAGGATTAACAATATTCTTTCTCGAATGAAGATATCTCGTGTGAAACTATCTCACTAAAGACTTAGTGGAAACGAATGAAAACTTTCGGATAGAACTTACTGGTTTCCCTATGGCTAATAAAGATTTGAAACAACTGTTAGCTATTGCTTCGCTGCAGACCTTCGTAAAGATAAATGTGTCAGTCAGAGTGGAATCGTAAATAATAAGCGACATACGTTTAGAAAAGGAGACGAAACTGTTTCAAGCGCTCCTGTTGCAAGTCCTATATCAATTTGTAAGCAATGGTTGGGCTAATTAAAAGATTTAATTGCTGGAACTGAATTAAATGCTGATCAGATGGAAATTATCAATTATTTAATAGAGGAATTTAAAGACCCTTTTCAGATTCATCTAGTGACTGAGTCGTTAAAAGTAACGCAATACCGGATAGACACAGGAAATCAGTTGCTTAATAATAACATCCTGACGTCTTTCATTCAGTAAGCAAGAGGAAATAGGGAATTTTCTGTAGGAAATTCAAGGTAATGATACCGTTGAACCTTGTGCAAATCCTTCAATATTAGTCATCGTTTTAATTGAAAAGAAAGATGGCTCGAGATAATTTTGTGTTGACTATAAAATTATGGTGAAAAGAAAAACAATTAACCTTATACAATATTCACGTCTTGACAAGTAGGTATTACCAAGTCGTATGTCTCAAAAAGGGAAATTTCCTTAATCCTGATCTTTTCAGAAATACCACTAATCCAGATACGACTGCACATGTTCTTAAACGTCAGCATATACATTATTTTTCAAAAGAAATGAATGATTTGCTGAAAAGCCAAGATTTTAAAAGGAAAGAAAAGTAATAATTCTACTTTTATCGATTA